TTGCTCAGGCTGGTCTCGAACTCCTGACCTTGAGCGATCCACCCGCCTCGGCCTCCCAGAGTACTAGGATTACAGGCGTGAGCCACCGCGCCCGGCCCCAATACAACAATATTTTACATATTCCAAGACCAAGAGAAAAATCGAGTGGGCCTAGAAGAATTTTTTTAAGCTTTTCTCTTGAGTCTTTTTCCTTTCTCCTCTGTCTTTTCTTGTCTTATTTCCTCAACATCAGCTACCTCTCCACATTCTTCTGGTTTTTGGCTTTTAGATCCTTTATGATACTTTTTTAAATTAAAACTTAATCTTCCTCAAAAAATTTTTTTGAACTTACAATATCTTTACCAGACTTTTTCCAGTGTCTTGCTTAATAGATTGAGCATAAAAGATTAATCTGACGCCAGCGGGTAACTGTGCGTTCCCTGGTGAAAGTGATGCACTTGGCAGAGAGTGAGGGTGTGGAACTTGACTGCAACTGTGAGGATGTGCTTACCTTATTCATAAAACCACTAACTGAATAAATAGGAAAGCTTAATAATAGGAATTATTTCAAAATAAAATACAGTTGGCCCTCCATATCGTGGGTTCCACATTCTTGAATTTAACCAACCACAGATCAAAAATAATTCGAAGAAAAAAAACTGTAAAAAATAACAATTAAAAAATATAAATTTAAAAAACAATACAGTATGGCAACTATTTCACATGGCACTTGCATTGCATTAAGTATTATATTAATACGTAATCTAGAAATGATTTAAAGTATATGGGAGGTATGTGTAGGTTATTGGCAAGTACTATGCCATTTCATGCAAGGGACTTTAGCATCCATGGATTTTGGTATCTGTGGGGGGTTGTGGAACCAACGCCCCAAGGATACCAAGGGACAACTGTATATATCTCAGGAAAAATGTCTGCTCGTTCTGAGTTTCTAAAGTTTCAATGTTTTTCCTGTCTTCTGTCTTTCGCACCCAACCTGCCCAAGGTGGTTCTCGGGACAATGGTTTCATGTGGTGGTGCTGAGAACTAGTGATTCCACGAAGATTCCTAAATTCTGTGGCTTCATTCCTGGCCAAGCTATTTCAGTCTTCCCTTTCTTTGCTGTACATTTTAGTTTAGGTGTAATTTGGTCAAATCAGGTACTAACCACTTCTCCAGTACTATGTATAAGTTAAAAAGAATGAAAAGGAAATGACACAATAGTGACATAGGAGTAAATGAACTTGAATATTTCTCGAGACTAGACTGATAGTCTGTGGCCAATTACTGGACACATCAGATCTGATACACTCCTAGGGCCCTATTTCATGCAGATTATCTGGGTGACATTCAAGAAAAGCTTATGAGATAAGTGTAGGTTTTAGGTTAATGAAACAACGTTTAAAACCACAAATATAAGACAGCAACAACCTAGAGAAAAGAAAATAAGCAGCAGCTATGGTCAAAATAAGAAAAATGAAGAGCTGGCCACCGGGAGAAAGAAGTACATTGAAGAAGTGAGCACCCTTTTAAAATGATAATTAATATTAATAACTATTATTATTCTTATCACCATCATTATGTTAACAGCTGGAGCCAGAAGGAACCCAAACTTGTCAAACTCAAACTTGGTTAAGCAACTCGTTAGAGAACATCAAACCAGTCTTACAGGAGTTGACATAGAGAAGCGGAAGTACAACAATTACTTGTAAATCAACAAATACCTGATACCTTACCTAATTCCCTAAACAATTTTAAGTTTTCCTGATGGCCGCTTCAGTGAAAAAGGAGTATCAGAATTATTAAAGTTACAGGATACCATGTTTATTTCTTATTCTAGAAGAAATGTTGATAAACTCCAGTTCCTGTATTCAGTAAACACAGATCGAGCACCTGCTCCGTGAGAGGCACCCCTGATGCCACGTGGGAGGTCAGGCACTGTCCTGAGCGGCTGAGAAGGCAGCAGAGGGCTGCCCCAGAATGAACGGTGTTTTAGTTACGTGTGCTGCTGAGGCAGAGTCTAGTGCAGAGGCTGCCGGTTGTCCTTCAGTAACTCTTCTCTCCTTCGCTTTGGACACATGGCTACCCCGAATGAAGGCTACATTTCTCAGCCACCCTAGTGGCTTAGTATTGCCCTGTGACTAAGTTCTAGTCGACAGGATATAAGATGAAATGTGTGTGTCAGCTTCTAGAAGCCTTACCTAAGAGACAGCTGATTCTTACTCTCTGCCCCTTCCTTCCCCATCCTCCAGCCTATGGTTTGAAACACGGACATGGCGGCTGAAGCTGCACCTGTGATCCTGAAGTAAAGGCCCACACCCGGAGACGCAAGGTAGACAGCCCAAAGGTGACGAGGTCCCCGAGGCCTTTGTGCAGCAGATCTGTAACACCAACCCTGAGCCGCCCACCTCTGGGCTTCTACAGGAATAATTATACTGCATTTTTGCTTAAGCTATTTTTATTTTGGGTTTTCATGATGCAGTCAAGCCTAATCCCAATTAATACAGTTAGTAACATTGCCAGCACCACACGTGTGTAGAAGATGGACAGACAGAACCTAAATGGAATCGATTAGGGAAGAGACGGCATTAGAAAAATGCATAAAAGACTGGCTAAGATTTTTAAAAGGGAAGAAAGACATTAGGAGGGAAAGAGAGGGTATTCCAGGCAGGAAAAAATAAAAAAATATAAAACACACTGCTGACACGGAAGAGAGTTCTATGCATATTTAGATAATACTAAATAGTTACAGATTGTCAAGAATAAAGTGACAATTTCAGGCTGTAAATGTCAGGCTAGGACAGATGTTGGAAGATTTTGAAAGTGTAATACAAAAAATATGGATCTCATTCTTTAAATAACAGGAATATTATGATGGCCTTGAGAATGTGCCTCTCGGAGCTCCAAGTGCAGGAGAGGAGCTGACTAGTGTCTCAAGTTGCTGTGCTCTGGAAGCCATTGCCATGTTTGCACCAAGGCCACACCTCCCAGGGCTGCTCCTAGAAAAAGACCAGGCAAATCAGGGATACTAAGGTGGGCCTAATCCTCAGAGACCCAGGATTCTTCTGATAAGAAACTTTGATTAGAGGACTCCCCAGCAGCCGTGTCAACCTTCCTTAGAACTGATCAGCTGGCTAAGACACTTTCACTCAACCTTCCTTCCTTCTTTCCCCCTCTCCTTCACCCTCGGTCAGACTTTCATGTTAGTCTGATGGCTCTCCTAACCGCTCTCCTGGCTCCTTCCCAACTACTACAGGGTGTTTCCTCTAATAAATCTCTGCATATTAAATCTACTTCTCAGAAGACTTGGGCTAGCTCACACACTTAAGGCTTTTTGCAGAGGTATCAATGGACTTGCACATGAGTGCATTCCTGAGAAAACAGAGTTAGGTAAATGGAGCTTGGAAAGACAGAAATTTCTGCACTTTAAAATTAAATGGGAATCACTGCAGGCTGATGTAAATCAAAGAATGACAAACACATCAAAGAGACACAGAAATAATAGCTAACATTTACTGAATACTTATTACATGCCAGAAATTTTCTGAAGCATTTTATATGCATTAATCTCATTTAGTGCTTACAACAATCCCACAACCATTGCAGATGAAGAAACTGAGGCTTTGTTGTAAATAATTTATACAAAGTCCTAATGCTGGAACTTAAATCTAAATACAATCAGTCCAATTTCTACATTCTTCTACTCTTTATCCACAGTTTTTTCAAGTAGTAGTCTTTACTTACTTATGCTTTCTAATACGATATTAAGTATTAACTAATATATATTCCAAGAAAGTGAGATTAAAGGATTAATTCTATGTATTTGTTATTTTGTACATTAATGTGCATAAATTATGCATAAAATGTACATTTATAAATGAACATAAAGTTAACTAGTATATGGAATTATAGCACTAAAATACCTATTTCTCAAAATAAAGAGCTAACATGAACTATATAACATCATACTCATTTTTTCCTTCTAGAGTGACTCTTTGAACTGAAACACAGAAACTCTAAAACTTCCCAGCATCTGGACATGATCCTCCTTCAGAAATTCCTGGGCAACCCAGTTCCCAAGAGCTTACTAAGTTTTTATTCCACTTATGATTCTAATAATATGTTCACTCTGACGACTTTTTAGCTTTACAATTAACATTTCAAAACTATCTTCAGTATATTATTTCCATTTCTAAAAATAATTAGTGGATTGGTTAGAAAACATCCCAAATGAGCCATGCTCTTCAATTAATAAAGACATCTTCCATTTTTCCTACACAGAGGAAACACGGCATTCATCAGAAACAAATCAAATATATCATCAGAAACAAATCAAATATATACCAAGACTTTGCCTTTTTTTCCAATGCATAGTTACCAGCAGAGGTCACTATTACATCAAGTCGCTGGATTTGTCCAGCTACCACTAAAAGAAATTAGAGGACCTGGCTGAATTTATAATAAAGATCAAGATGCTAACACATAAAGTATGATTACACAGATATATGCTGCTGCACAAATATTAAAAGGTAAATGTACTTTTAGTATGTATTATCGTTTTGATTTTCCTATTCTCCTATGAAGACAAAGGTAAATATATAAATACAGATGCATATACTTATATTTTTATATATAGTAACTCATTACTTATCAAGCCAGAAAGTGAAATATACAAATATTCACATGTATTATCCAGAAAAAGTTTCTAAGACATTCTTTTCAAAAAGGAAAAAAGATGTCACAGCATCATAAAATCAAAATAATATACATTAATGCTCTTCCTCAGGATAAGAAACTTCATAACCAAGCTAGGCAGTATAGGCTGTTGCCAACAGTTAAGAGAAACCACACACACCAAGACCTGTGCATGTTATTATTATATTATCACACATTTTAAAAAGATTCAATACTAACTAAAACAATGTCAAATATGCTAGAAAATACAATGGCACGGGGCTAAGGAAGGAAAAGGCATGAAGATGGGACAGCCTTTGGCTCATCATGACCAGCAAGGCCAAGAGGGAAATAAAGGTTAACTATCCAGTATGACCACGTGAGCCAAAAACTCCAGGACAGCAGGAAAGTCTGTGGTTAGAGAAACCGTGGTTTATCTGCCCTGACTACCTACCCCATGCCCAAGTCAGAGGTCAAGGCTTAAGTCAGGTGTGCCTTCTGAGCCAAATGAATTCCCATCTGCCCCATGTTACTTCCCCACCCCTTTGCTAATTCCCAAAATTCTTTTAATAGAAGAAAAGGCCATTCATTGTATCATGTGGTTAAAATAATATCTAGTAATAATGAGTTTTGATTTAAATACGAACACTTAACAAATTAACAACTTTAAGTCACTGTGGTCAACATGTCTCCTTCTTGATAGGGGAAGACTTAAGAGGACAGGAAAGGTGACAAAAGACAAGAAGGGACACAGGAAAGAGTACATAGAGGGCTCTCCAGTAGCGAGTAGAGCAGTGGTGACCAGAGGCTGGGGCAGGGCGGGGAGGGGGAGGTAGACGTTCGGCATAATGACAGTTAGATAGGAGGAATAAATCCCAGACATCTATTGAATGCAGGGTGACTAGAGTTAATGACGATACACTGTATTCTTGAAACACATAAAGAGAGTAGATGTTGAGTACGCTTGAGCACAAAAATAACTGTGTGAAGTAATGCATTTGTTAATTAGCTAGAGTTAACCATTCTACTATTTCTATGTACTTTGAAACATCATGTTGTACGTGATAAATACAGTATTATCTTTGAAATTTTTTTTATTTTTTAGAAAGAGGCTATGGCAGGGCAGAAGACAGCTTCTGCACAATGATCTCTGGGGTCGCCTTATTTAAGAGGATCAGAAAAAACACAGTCTGTGCACGTAAGTATTTTGTTCTTGTAGCTGCAAACTCAGGCAGTTCTGCTTTAGATGATCTATAGGGATGATTTTTGTTTCCCACTTTTTATTATAAATATTTTCTTCCAATTGTTTATGATGAACTGTTTCAACATATACAGAAAGGGTAAAGGGAAAATGAAAGCTGAAATGAATATCCTACTGTTAGAGTCAACAATTTTAAATGTTCTGTGACATTTGCTTTATCTATAGATATATGTGTGGATATATTTATTTAAATATACTTATTTTTCTTCGGCTGAACCATTTTAAAGTAAGTTACAGACACCATTATACTTTGTCCCAAAATACTTCAATATGATCTCCTAAAAATAAGAACATTCTCTTATGAACAACATCTTCCTAATTCCAAAGAAAAATAACAATAATTCTCCATAACCATCTGGTATCCGGTCCATATGCAAATTTCCAAATGTACCCAAAAATGTCTTTGATAGCTGTTTTAACAGTGATCTAATCAATGTTCAAGTATTGCATTTGGCTACTAGGTCTCCAAGAACAAATAGCCTTCATCCATTTTATACAATGACACTGACTTTTTGAAACGACCCGGCCATTTATCTTATAAAATGTTCTGTAGTCCAGATGTGCACAGAGATTATTTTTAAAGCACCACCACCAAGGAGCTTATACTAGTTACTGAAGATCATACTGTGATACTACTCACTATGTGAAATAATTCTCTCATAGGTCAACTGTACTGAAAAAATATCTGAAACTTGAATATAAAATAGTAAAGTTAAGACGATGTTCTATTTCCACCTGAGGCTTTTAGATTTAGTATCAGTAAGGAATAAAATAATTGGAAACAAATGAACAATAAAAATGTGATACACTGCATTATGCCCAAGTATTCCTGACACTTCATCCTAGCAGATTTATTTCTTAGAATATTCTATCACTTATTCTATTACTTAGTTTTTTTGCTAAGGATGAAAAAAGGAAAATGAGGATAAACACTTGGTAGTTTACTCTAAACTCATTTCAAAATCCTTCAGAAAGCACATGTAAATTTGGGACAATAACATCTATAACCTCCATCATGTGAATACTTTATATTGTTTCTGAGTAACAATTAACAAGAAAACACAAATTTAAAAACAATGAAAAGTGCAGTGGCAATCTGATCTGATTCCAGCCACAGGAGGCACGTGTGTTGGTTCGATCGGGACCACAGGCCTCCTTTTGTTATCAGTTACAGCCTCATGGCTCATTCCAAATCAGAACAGACTTAACAGGAAAGTCTGTTCAGAAGCCTATCACATTTCCAGAAGGGTCCAAAATGTAATGAAAAAACATAATTGAAATATAGAACTTCTGGGTCTTCAAAAGAAAGCAGTTCACAAAAATAGTGTACTAAGCCTTACACTAATTGCAACACCATACACTATATGAAATAATTCTTCAATAGGTCAACTATAGTGCAAAAAACCCTAGAACTTATAACATCAAATAGTATTTTCACAAATAAAATTATCTGTGGGGAAAAAATAACCTGTAGCTTATATGTCTCAAGTCAAACTGGTCATGAAATAACTATTTAGCCAATATTATATACTTATGATAAAGACAAATAGTAAGTTCTTTTACCTTGTTAAAGTATCAGATGATTTTTCTAATTCTTCACACTCCATGTGAAACACACTGGAAAAAGAATCCTGAAAACAGAGTGACAACACAGACTGAGAAATAAGTTTGACAAGGTATCAAAACCACCTTGATACAGATATGTGTCCTATGGAATCGACTAATGACTCCAATACTTGTAATATATTTTTACTTTCTTTCAAACAAAACTGACCCAATTACTCATTTCATAACATCCGCAAAGCTGTTTCTGATTATTAAAGGCTTTGTTCGTATCATTGCTGATCTTCACTTGCAAGAATGCTTCTTTGAGTACTATTTGGGGTTTTTCTCCTATCAGGTATTAATGAATATATTAGTTTCAAAATTTCTCTATGCTCATTGAAAATTCTCAAGTTTTGGCTTTTAAACATATATCAATTGCTGTTGTTAAATCCCAGGTAAATGCCTTCTTAAAAAGATGTGTTCATCCAGTAATATTCACAAGATCATTAAAATAATTGTGAAGATTTTAGCAACATAGAGAAAT